GAAAGTGTAAAAAAAAAAAAAACTTAATATTGCTTAATATTCTGCAGAAACTTGCATTAGGAATGCAATGCCTCCCACTGAGTCAGCCGATGCACTTTAGAAAGGATGAAATAGGCAGCTGAATTTTTTATGTGCATTTCATCTGCCCCGGCTTACCAATCCGTGTTTTCCCTGTTTTGAAAATGGGTAACGAATAGAAAAAATAAAAAAAAATTATTAAGCATCCAAATAAAACAAAGATGAATGGAAGAGTCACAACGAATGCAGATGCTTCCCCACAGGTTCTTTTCATGTTCCAATGATACAAGATTCTTGTTAAGACTGTGAAAAACAACAATGAGACTATTTAAATATGGTTCTGTTCTGGAGACACAGATGGGAAAGCTATATTTGTGAAGGTCTGTTAGGTAGGGGACTTGAATGACCAAAAAATAAGGGTAAACCAATATCAACGGCAAGCAGCAAAAAGCACTGTTTGCACCACGTCCAAGTACTTTTTCATGCTATATTTTAATATCTGAACACCATAATGTGACAGAAAAAAATACTTTCACAACATGTAACCCCTTTAATGATAAAATGTAACAGAGACGGTATTTGAATTTATTCCCAGTAGTTCCTGAAGAAATATTTTATCATGCTTGTTTACACTCTTCATGTCCTCATTATGTCTGAAACTCTTTAAATCCAGACACCCTACCTTCAACCTGAGCAACACTATATGAAACGCAACACTCCAGATTGTAAAGCAGCTTGGGGTAAAGGTTAATGGATGCGACCTGCAAAAAGGAGACTTGCAACTAGTGAAGCAGCTATAGAATCCCAGCGATTTATTAACATCCTCCTCTACATTTATTGGTACTCTTAGTAAAGATCTGTAACAAAAAAATAAAATAAAATGAAATAAAATAAAACAACTTAAAATAAATTAAGTCCAGTACATTAACTATTTCCCCATTCCTATTTCCTTACTTACAAACATCAATGGGAAATGGTCTCACTTAAACGCCATGTGCTCTGTTCATTTATAGTTTGAAGAGCAGCTTTGAGTGGCATCTCTTCCAATTTGGTTTTATTGACC